CAGCCGAACTGCCGAACTAGCAGTCAGCTGAAGTAGCCTGCAGTACTGCACTCTAACCACTGCGCCACTTCGTCTCTATTTTCATACAGATCCATAATATCCATTTGTTTATACCACAGAGCATAAACATATGACACTAAAAGAACTATTAAAAGTCATTTGGTGAGATATAACAAACAATATAACAAAATACACTAGTGATTATACAACATAAAAAGCTACATATCACATGGTGATTAAAATAAATATACAATAATACACCCATCTACACCTACACAGAGAGAATCAATTTATCAATATATAAGTAATTTAGTTCTTAAAGTTGTCATTAAATCTAGACCATATGGACATAATTAAAAGCTGTTTGTGATGTGGCTAAGCATGGAAGAATTGATTATGTTGTTCCAGGGAAAAAAACCCACCATATAATGTATCTAAATCTTTGGGGAAATTAAAGTAATTCCTCAGATCCTGACCTATCATAGCTACTGAGGTATATGTATAATTAAATTTTAAACCAGTTGTGCAAAAGAGCAGTGTGACTGAATTGGGAATCAATAGCCAGTTTCCTCCCGTGACTTATCATTTCAAACATTTTTTAAAGGAAAAGACAGGAAAAATAATGCTTTTAAGAGAACAATGATACAATGTCTGGTTTGTGATTTTCCCTATCAATGGTTGCATAGCACACACAAAGATGGTGTGATTGTGTGAAGGTAACTTAGTTTTAATTCTGGGTCAGGAGGCTTGTCCCCTTTTAAATCATATATATTGTGATCATAGAATTAAACAAACACTAACCTTCCCTTTTTTATTTCCTTTGTCCTTTGCAGTCCTTTTTAACAAGCACGAGCATCCATTTTGCATAATACTTTGCTATACTAATATAAGCAACAGAAAAATACAAATTAAAGGCCTTCAATCAAGTGTGAAAAATAAGGATAGCTACAATATTGAATATAGTTTACGTCTTTTTACAGAAATAGCAAAAAGTTACCGAAATACTTGGTTCTTAAAATGTATATCTGATTATCTAATGGCATTCTCAAAATGGAATTAAAATCATACATTTTCAGTCATGCACAGGAAATGTATGATGTATGTGTCAAAGGTCTGCACAGTTTTGAGGCTTCTTTGAATTTTATTTTCATTTAAAAATAATAATTTCCAATATGGTATTTAGCTTTTTTTTTCAGCAACTGCCCAGTGAGTTGACATTTTCATTGAACTATCAAATATCTTTCCTGGTCAATCACCATCATTACAGATCCCATCAACATCAGTTAATACTTGTTAATCTTGAACATTTGGCATTTTAGTGCTCATTCTCCCAGTTTAGAAAAAAAAACACCCAAGTTGTTCCTGATTGATTGATTGCTATTAATTTCCTTTTTGTAGTTGTTCATCTTGCAGTCGTGACTCTGGGTGGCAAACATATGATTAAAAAAAAAACAGAAGAAAAAATACATAGCAATTAATACATAGCATAATAACAGTGACATAATGTCAAATAATAAACAAAACTCACATTAATGCAGAATCACAATGACAGGGCTCACCCTATCTCCAGACTCCTATGCCCATGGGAATTGCAAGACTTAAATGTTAATTAGATCAATTAAAAAAGAACAAATGCTTGGAAACATTAATTCCCAATTTTTGTTATTTTTAACCAGCTACTTGCTCCTTTGATGGAATATCTTAGAGTAGCTATTCTAAAAGTTCTGCTAAATTAATAATAGAATCACTTAAAAAAAAAACCATATCTTCAAAACGGGAAATCAACCATCCTATTCCTACTGATTTGTGAAGTCTAATGTTTCAGATTTAGCCTAATGTAAAATTCAATATATATCGAAAGAGAATACTTGGTCATTTAACCAAGGCAATTCTTTGGCTTTAATATTTTTGAACACATTGTATATTTGTTTGTTTGTTTGTTTATTTATTTATTTATTTATTTGACTTATATACCGCTTCATAGGGCTTTCAGCCCTCTCTAAGCGGTTTACAGAGTCAGCATATCGCCCCCACAGTCTGGGTCCTCATTTCACCCACCTCGGAAGGATGGAAGGCTGAGTTGACCTTGAGCCGGTGAGATTTGAACCGCTGAACTGTAGATCACAGTTAGCTAAAGTGGCCTGCAGTACTGCACCCTAACCACTGCGCCACCTCGGCTCATATATGAACTTAATGTGAAAACAAAAATATAATAGGAGACAATAAAGGGCAGAATGTAGCACGTGTATGTTTATTATGAATCCTGCTCCGTTTCCAAATAAGCTGTGCTGATCCTGTAGTTCATTCAGTATTCCTTGTTCCGGAACACATTTTCAAATTGGTTTTGCTTTTGTATGTTATATCAATGTCTTTATATAATTATTTGTCTTCACAGTATTACCTTTGGTATAAATATTAATTTTCATAGTGTTACCTTTGAGGATTTTGAATTATGAGTTATAATGCTTATCTATCTATCTGCCTCATCTACATAAGGAATTTTTTGGCTTTTAACCCTTGTTTAACTCTGCTCGAATGATCATAAAGATAGACTAAATGAGGCACGTGGTTCTCCCGCCTCCTCCTGTAGAGGGCAGTTTTTAGAGGCTTTTTAAAACAGTTAAGCACTAAGCAGAGTCATCCACTGTGACTCTGGCAGCAACTAGCTCAGCCTTTTTCCTTTTACATTTTCTTTTCTTTTCATGATGACAGTGGTGAGGCCCTGCCTCCCCTGACTGCACGGCACTGGATTCAATCATATTCCTTTTTTTAATATGTGCATATTATCAATGATATTTTGGTAGCTGTACAACAAGTTGAATATGCTTAGAGCAGGGAACAGTTTCTGAATATCTGAGGCAATAAAAGAGAGTGTGGTTTTAAAGATATCATAGGAGTAAAATTTACTGACAGCCTTTTTAAGGAATGGACAGCTGTGGTTTTCTTTAAATGATCTTCTGATAAACCTAATTTTACTATCCATACTTTTCAAATATGAAGCTACAATCTTACATTGCTAGGCAACTTTCTGGAACCTGATGTCACACAGATGTGTTGAATTACAGCATCTTTCTCCTAAGATGGAGATTGTTGATCTGGAAAACACCAGATTGAGAAAAGTTCTGCTGGCTCATATTGCACAACTGATCTGCTTTCCTCTTCCTGTCTGCTGTAGCCCTGGCAGAGTAGGACACTATGTTTGGGAGGAATTAATTTGTACTCACAAAGCTCAGTCACCACTATCATTTTTTGGTCAAAAGGAGTTATACCAGGTGGATTGAAAAAAAAGCTTGCACAAAGTGTTGAAATACTGCTTCCAGCTATAACAGAAAAGCAAGTTGGATCAATGGCATAAAGCAGCTGTATTTTTTCTTTTTGAACTTCAAAGGATGGGAGTATTCAACTTCCACCTCACTTCCTCAGTATAGTTTCCTTTCTTCTCTTTCTACTAAAATGAATGTGAAAGAAATTGTGATAACAACGTTTCAGTAGGTTCTGCTCCTTTCATCTGACCCACTTGTTGTTTTTACAGATCATGGGACAATTAAGAAAATCCTTGCTCCAGTTAATCAGACAGCCAGCAGTTGTTTGCTAGAGGAGATACACATCTTTCCAAAGAAGCAATGGGAGCCCATCAAGAGCCTTCAGATTTTACACAGTCAGAGCGCTCTCTATGTGGGTCTTCAGAGAAGTGTGGTGAAGATCCCACTGAAGAGATGCCAGTTTTATAAAACATTCAGGTAACTGTCTGATTAGTTGATCTTGAATGATCTGGGTAGAAAAATGAGTAAATATAATTACAGGGTTACTTAATTTTAAACTCTTTTCATTAAGTAACTATCTGAAGCAGAACAATTTTCAGTTTAATAGAGGAAAGACATCAGTTGTAAAAATTGCTATTCCTTCACCAAAAAAAAAACCAGTTTGCAAATGCATTGAATGGCAGCCTACCCCTAATGAATTCAATTCAGTTGATTAATCTTTCAGTTAAACTCTCCAGTCTCATAACTCTCCTAACTAAAGCAATTTTCCATCTTAGGCAATTTAGAACATTTCCAGAAAGTTATTATTAGCACCAGCAAACTACAATTATCAGTAGGAAATTTCAATACTTAAAGTTGAAAAAAGTGCTACCTTCTGTTCAGGGACAGTGAACAAGTATTTGAAGAGTTTGGGATAGATTTTAAACAACAGAAAAATTAGCCTTTTCTCTTGCTTTGCCTGGAGAATAATAATCTCCAGGTTATAACACTGCAACTGGCATAAAGGTATGCCAATCAAGAAGTGCCGAAATACAGTCATGTGACTGCAGGGGTATATACAGCCTTTGAATCTTCTGAATTGCATCATAAGTAGCTTTTGGAAGGTCCTTCATAACTACAAACAATGCTAAGGGAACAGTCATTAAACAAGAATGACCTATACCTCCATCTTCAGGCTGCTTGCCTTACTCAGAAGGTCTGTTGGTTCTTTCCCATGAAGAAAAACATGAGAATTTCTGTGATGTTTTCAATTTAATTTTTTCAGCACATGTGTTGGATCCCAGGATCCTTATTGTGGCTGGGACTTAGTGCTAAGGAAATGCACACCATTGGAAGAAAGCTTGAGCATGAGTCAATGGGAGCAGAGCATCTCTCTCTGTCCAGTAAGTAGAATTCATATATGTCTTCGTTTTTCAAGTCGTCAGAATCCAAGTGATTTCCATAGAATCCATTGTATTCATGATAACCATTTCATTATTGTAATTATTTATAACAGTCTCCTTAAAGCAATTTACAATTAAAAAACCAGTTTAAATGAAAATTAGAAAATATTCTAAACCAGAAAAGGTTCAAACTGAAACACTGAAATTAGAAAACAGCAAATGGTGGTAATTGCTGGAGCGTTCTAGGATGATTGTACAATCATCCACACCATACACCGCATCTCTTCAGGTATTCTTTGTACAGGGCAACTAACAGTAAATGATTTTATCAAAATAATATCAGTTGGTGTGTTTTGTCTGTCAGAGTTACATGCTTAGTGTTTTTCTCTATTCTTAGCAAGCTTTTGTAAGGCATAATTTGTTTATATATATGAGTCATAAAGTTGTATATATGCATGTATGCATGTATGCATCAGTGGTGGGATTCAAATAATTTAACAACTGGTTCTGTGCCCTAATAACCAGCTAGGTAGGCATGGCTCAGTGGTCATGTGACCATGTGGGTATGGCCAACATCATTCAGGTCAATGGGCACAGCCTTAGCTGTTACAATATAATAAGGGTTAACCAGAGAGGCAGTTTCTGTAAGCAGGGCAATAAAGATTAAACTAGAAGCAACACCAGAATGTTTCCTTCCTGCCTTCTGTACAGCATTAGCCCTGCAAAGTGGGGAAAAAAACCCTGAGATTTCTTCCAACAACCAGTTCTCCAAACTGCCTAGAAAGTTAACAACCGG